GCAGCTTACTTTGCAAGGCCCTAGCGCTCCTGTCGGTCAATTTTCTGTGCAGGTGACCACGTCTGATTGCCTTCTATGGGTCTATCCTACAGACCGAAGGGAACTGCTCACACAACTACTGCGCCTAGATTGTGCCTCTGAGCTCATAGCCGTAGTAGCCGTAGCGCGACGCTCTCAAAAGATCACCTGCAATGCCCTCTAATTTTCATCTTTATGAAGAAATCCTGCGCCAGGTAACATGATTTTTTTTACCGAGATCCGACTTTTGACAAGAAGTGTATGTCAATGGTAAATGTGAGTGTAGCCGCAACCATGGGCTGGCAGTGATTGTAACTGAATGCCTTACTATGAACAGTTGTACCAAATAAATAAAAAAAATCTAAGTGAAGTTAAAGTGTTATGTAAGTCAGAAATAGTGGCACAATGAGCAGGCCTGATGGAATTTTACGAACTAACGAAATTCCTTTCACGCTGCCACTCGCCTGTAATGCACTTGCCATTAGTGCAACCATAAGAAAGTGACTAAGGTGGTCAAGTTTGGAAAGTACGGTTGCTATTGTGAATATTCCACATACATAACATAACTTGAAGCACCGTCTAGTAAGCAATTCATTTAAAAACTGTCGATGTACCGCCCCCAATTATGTGGTCTGTCAAGCAACAGGGAAGGCGAATGTAACATTCCATGGGTGGTTTAATAAAGTAATTGTTCCACTTTTGAGGACGAGTATATCGGCGAGACGGCAAGAACGCTCTGTGTACGTTAAAGAGAGTAAGAATAGATCACGCTCATCAACTGCTTTAGGAGCCCACAGGGTTCAAATTCATGATGGGGATGACTTTGAGGTCACAGTCAAGGTCTTGGCTCAAGAATCAGAAACATCTGCACGGAAACACTCGAGGCATATTGGATTCAAGTCAGAAGCCTAAAACAAATCATAGGGAAGAAAGGCTCGTGATAACGAGGGAATTGAGACCTTCCAGTAGTGACTCTCATTTGGAAAGAGTCGAATTGCGGTTAGTACTGCTGCTGGCTTTCCATATGGCCCTGATGTCGGAAGCCAGCAACAGTACCAACCACAATCCGACTCTTTCCAAATGAGAGTCACTACATCAGAGCCATATCGAAAGTGAAAGACGCCCTCCTTCACGTCGATGAGGCAAAACACAGATTCGCTGGTCATTTGATGAGGAGAAATGATGGCAGATGGAGTGCTGCAACTGTGCGATGGTACCCGCGCGAAAAGAAACGACCACCCGGCCGTCCTCCAGTACGTTGGGCAGACTCTCTAGCTTATCGCAACAACGTATTTGATCCCGTGTCCCTTAAGGTGTCTGTTCATTGGACAACCATAGCTCAAGACCGAGAACGATGGAAGAGAAGTTGGGACCCGCGCAAGGCCAACCGCCAAGCAGATGGACGGGTCGTCTAAGTATCTAAGTAAGTAAGTACTGATGCTGGCTTGTGGCTCGTCTGAAGATCCAGACTGGATTACGCAGAGTGGCCAATCTTGAGTTTGCCTGATGGCCTGTTTGATCTTGAACTTCTGTAGGGAAGCGGCAACGTTTAGTCGGGTTATCATAAACGGACTATACTTTTACAGGCTCTGGCGAAGACCCTGTCGGAAAGTGAGCCGGTGAAGCTTGTTTACCAACCTTGTGTTGGCGGACCATCACAGGCCAAGTTGTAAATTTCTATGAAGTCATTTGTACGACGTATGAGCACATGATCATAACAGGAAGCGGGTGCGCTTTTGCTGAACTGTACCCTTTTCTTTCTTGGTATAGCTTGTCGATATTTTGGCTAGACCTTGGTGTAGCAATAAATCCACCTGGCTTCAAAAATTTGCGACAGTCCTAGAGAAAGCTACCAATCGGTGAGCATGATCTCTTCCATGACATTCAAAGCTCTTGCAGCGAGCTGTGAAGCTTTATAGCAGTGCAGTCCTTGAACGTAATGTCTCAGTTGGACACATTGAGTAGACTTGTGTCGTCCTTTCACTGCTATTGAACGCCGCAGTTCGCATTTCGAATGCTTAAAAATGCTGGGTAATCATGTGTTACATGTTACACAACCCTGGCCAGCTCTCCATAATTAGCACAGCTTTTCAGCACTCGCACCTCTAATGTGATGAGCCGGTTATCGATAAAAGTAAAAAGCTTTTGCCATTGATCAATCTCGTCTTGGGATGCGGCATTCCACTTCCATTTGTACATTT